CCCCTGGGTTGGGAAAATCCCCTGGAGAAGGGAACAGGTACCTACTCCAGTATTCTGGCCTAGAGAATTCCATGGACTGTATAGTCTATGGGGTGGCAAAGAGTCAGACACACCTGAGCAACTTTGATTACATGCTTATGGGAACCCGAGGAGAATGCTGCCTTTTGGCCTGAGGAGTGAGAGGGTTGTTGTTGGGGGTGGTGGTGGCGGGGCACAGGAGGGAAACGTCACAAGGCTGAAGTCTACAGACTAGACAAAAGGCTTACACAGGAGGGGCACATATCTGGACAGAGAAACGGTTTTGCCAAGTCATGGAAGTAGCTGGGAATTGAAGACACTGGACAGGGCCAGAATAAACTTATGTAACTTCTGCTTACTGAACCAGGGAAAACTGTTTTTTGGAACTCAGGGAAAGCCTTGGAGGCTAAAGCCTTCCTACAAACAAGAGATCGGAGGGCACAGGAGAGGGTGGCCGGCTCAGGAAGGCCCTACAGGGTCCTGCTTGGTTTCACTAGGCAAATAGCTAGGTAACATCTAATTAAACCTATATATAAGGAGGTTTATCTTTATAATTTTGTTTCAATTTTCTAAATTGCTAATAATAGCATTATAATCTTTTCTAGGGTTTATTTTGACTCACACTGCTTGCCACTTTACTGGAACTGTTCCTTTAAATCCAAACACCACCACCAGGCTAATCCCATTATCTCCATTTTACAGATGAGGAACTGAGGCCTGGTGAGACGAAGCATCTTGCCACAGTCATGAAGGTGGTAAGAAGCAGAACCAGGACTCAAAGTCACGTCTGGGGCCTTGCACTTAGCCCCTGCCTCTCTGTACTGACTCTTGATGTGTGGGTTCCATTCTGAAGGTAATGGGGTGGAAGGGCATGGAAAGACTGTACAGCACATGAGGGACAAGCTCAGCTCTGGCATTGGGTGGAGATTTTTCTCCACTTGATGATAGGAGACAGGTGGAGACTGGGTAAGCAGGTGGAGAAGATTCCGCTGAAGCAGTGGGGCCATCAACTTGGTGTTCAATCATGCACCCTCTGGCATTTCCCCTCCCAGCTTCCAGTATGTGCCCTTTACTTGGTGTTTCTTGCTTCATGTGAAATTTGGAGCCCCAATGCCTTGGTCAGAATCCCTTGCCCTAGCTGTGAGAGCTTGGGTAAAATACTCAAAGCTGCCTAGTCTAAAATGAGAATAAACTGTTTACTTCCCTTGCAGGGCTGTCTTGGTGATTAAAAGAGATACAAAACAAACATAAAGCATGGTCAGAGTCCCTGTGATGACCATCTTTGCCTCTTTGGGACATTCTCTTCGTGGTCCTCTTGTTTTTCTGGCTGTTCTGTCTCTTGATGTTCTCTTCATCTATGAGCCCCATCACTGTCCCTTCTTGCCTGTCTTCTCTTCTGACTCCTGGGTGCATGAGTGCTAAGTCTCTTCAGTCTGACTCTTTAAAACCCTATGGGCTGTGACCCACCTGGCTCCTCTGTCCTGTAGATCTCATCTAATTCTCTGCCTTCTATTATCTTTATTTATCTCCTAAGGACTTCCCCCCGAGTAGCTCCAGCTGAGCCCCTTTGCTGATTAAATTAATATTCCTAACTCCTGGTGAATGTACTCTAGATGGATAACCGGAATCTCAGCTTTAATGTTGAAAAGGACTTACTGCAGCCTTTTGGTTCCAAAAGCAATTTCTTCTCCCTAAATTCTCCACCTTAGTGAAATCTACCATTATCTCCTGGCTTCTCAAGTCAAGGAGAGGCTCCTCCCTCTCTTGCATTCTCCAAATACCTCTATCACCAAATATTATCAAATTTACTTCCTATAATTCCCTCAAGTCCATCATTTTATCTCTGTCCACTCTTAGCCACTGCCTTAGCTGAGGTCACCGTCAGCTCTGATTAAAGGACCCAAAGTCCAACAAACAAGCCAATGCCATGGCCAACTTTTTCTGGAAACAGGCTGGACATGATGAAACTTTAAAAAATAATGTGAATTGATTTTTGCTTGAGTTCCTTTTTTGTCATCTGAAATTGGGAAATTACTTAAGTACCTAAAATAATCAAATTTCGATATTGTCATTAAAAATATTGGGTACTACTTTACCCTAGTTTTGCAAACAGTGAAGACATTCCAAAGTTTTCTATTAGGCTTAGGAAGTTTGACCTTCACAGAATAGCTGTAGGAATGTCAACTTTGTCCTATTGCCCAAAAGGTATCAATGTTTGCTAAGTGGCTCAGTTGTGTCCTGCAACCCCATGAACTATAGCCCGCCAGGCTCCTCTGGCCATGCAATCTCCCAGGAAAGAATACTAGAGCAGGTTGCCATTTCCTACGCCAGTGGATCTTCCTCACCCAGGGATGGAACCTGTGTCCCTTGCATCTCCTGCATGATAAGCGGATTCTTGACTACTGAGCCAAAGCTGTCACTAAAATGTCTGTGGCAGTTTGGGAAGCCCTGAAGGCACTGGAGAATTCCTCAGTCCTCCTAGAACATGCTCACAGTGAGAACCAGATTCTGTCGTCATAAGCTTGTGGGGCAAATCCCCAAGATGGCTGCTGATTGGTGAGGCCGTAGTGTCTTGCCGAGGCCTGATCCTCCACTGGGTGAAAAGGGTTGGGTCAGACAGGTCTCGCTTTCTCAGAAAGTGAGTGTGCAGACATCAGTTTGCACTGCCTGTTGTTTCTTGGCCTTATGTGAGGACAGGGGGCTTAGAGAGCTGAAGAGAGTACACTTCCACAGTTGAGGCCCAGAGCCCCACTACGTAGCGGCCCTGAAGAGAGATCAACTACGCAGACAAGACCCTGCCCTTCAGGAGTTCACGTTTGACAAGAAACCAGGAAACGCCAACCAGGGAGGGCCTCCCCTTTTCCACCAGCAAGGGACCAGTGCGCCTCCCTCTCTTCCTTTCACCATTCTCCATTCACACCCTCTAACTGTTGCGTTTGGTGAGTGAGCACTCCACTGTTGTTGCAGAAGTAACAGAGGTTGTTAGAAAAACGAGGAAGGCAGGACAGAGATTCCTGAGAAGCTAGGAACCCCTGAACTGCCTTAGCCATGAGAGATGCCCCGACCCCAAATTTCAGGTCCACGGGGAGATCTTAGATACCTGCTTTAAAATCTGATGTATTAGTAGTATTACTTCAGGAAATATGATCCCTGGGAGGAAAAGCCCTGACATGGACATCTATACACTCAGGGGGCTGCTCAGCCATTAATGGCTCAGACGCGCTGGAAAGTCACTCACTGTCTGAGAACTTCAGGCTGTAACTTTGCAAACAAATGTCAGTGGATGAGATGCTGGGTGCACACAGGCCACCCCTGCCCAGCCCTGAGTCACTGGTGCTTCTGCTTATATCTCATAAAACACAGATCCTGAGGAACCCATCTTGCAGCATCGGTCTGAGCAGGGAATGAGACCCTGTGTCTGTATTCATTTCCTAGGGCAGCCATAACAAAATAGCACAGCCTGGGTGCCTCAAACATCTTAACTTTATTTTCTCACAGTTCAAAAGGTTAGAAGTCCAAGATCAAAATGTCAACAGGGGGACTTCCCTGGTGATCCAGTGGTTAAGAATCCACCTTGCAATGTAGGAGATACAGGTTCAATCCCTAGTTGGAGAACTAAGATCCCACACGCTTTGCCACAACTAAGACCCAATGTACCCAAGTAAATGAAATAAATGAACAAATTAATAGAAAAAGATATCAGCTGGCTTGATTTCTTCTGAGACCTGTCTCTTTGGCTTGCAGATGGCTGCCTTCTTGTGTCCTCCCAAGACCGTCCCTCTGCTGTCCGTGTCCTGATCCCCTTCTCTCATACAGATACCAATCATTGGATTAGCACCTATCTTAATGACACCATTTTAATCTCAATCACCGCTTTAGAGGACCTGTCCCCAAGCAGAGTCACATCTGAGGTACTAGGAGTTAGGGCCTCGACATATGAATGGGTGGCTGGGGGACACAATTCAGCCCATAATTTCAGCCCTTTTCTGAAAATCTTTGTGAGCCTGGGGCTAAAAACTGGGTACCTGCTGTCAGAAGCTACAGTCCACTCTGCTCTTCTTTGCCCTCCCCCACCCCCAACTCCTTGCAAGGGGCAAAAGTTTTCAACAGTGTGTCTACTTCAATTTCTATTCCCTTCAGTGCATTTTCATTCATCTCTGGTAATGCTTTTACCAACTGTGCTGAGACACAAAACCCCCGAACTCTGACCTCTTCAGGTGCAAACAGGCCATACTCAAGGTTAGAAATAGGTGGCTTCTGAGTCTCGTGTGGACTCTGCTCTCCACCCCCGGAGGTGAACAGCTTTGTTCCTAAAAGACACTAAGAGACCTTAGACTTCCGCTGTCATGTGGTGCAGGAATCCACTCCTCTGAGGCAACGTCAAATCTCTGCTCTCAAATCCTGGGGCCGGGGGATGCGTGCAAGGGAGAGGCTCTGTTCTGCCTTCCACTGGTTCAGTGCTGCCCTAAGCTTCAATTCCGAGAGTCTTGAGCTGAGTAACTTCTCAAATAACTAAACAGAGCTCAGGCCTGTGCACCTCAGGATGTCTCCAGGAAGAATCCGTCTCCTGCTGTGGAGTGGAGAACAATACCGACAAGACCGAGTGGTCAGGTAGTGACCTAGATTACGGTGGCCCACGAACCCTGGTCCATTCATCCTCTTTCCCCCGCTGTTCCTTCGGGCAGGTCAAACCCACTCGACTGTCCGAACTGCATGCCCGGCCGGAGACATAAGATCCTTCTCCATCCTTTGGTCTATTCCAGCACAAAGCTAGTGGTACTTGTCTGAGTTGGGTTGGTATTTGAAAGGAGCAAAGTCAAGGGCTTAAAATACCAGGCAAACTCGTTCAGGCTTGCGCGGGAATCATGATAGAGTGGGGTAAGGGGATGAATAGCATCCGCTAATATTTCCCTGAGGGAAGTCCTGGCATAACTGACATTCAGCCTGCAGCCAGGGTCAGGAATGCCGCACTTTACGCCGAAATGGGCGTGGAACGAGGAGGCGATTTCCCTCGCTCCCAAGCGGGAGACCCACGCCGGCGGGAGGGGCCCTTTCCGGCGCGGGAGAGGTCAGATCTGCGCCCGGCTCTCAGCCGCCTAAAAAGCCAGCCCGGCCCACTCAAGCTCGCGAATCCTGAGTCACTCCGCCTAGTCTCAACTCGCCTCCCCGGCCACTACCCCGCTCCCGGGACAAATTCCAGTTCTGGGCTACAACCCAGCTCCAAGACTCCCCAGAAGAGCACGAGCCTACTGGACGTCTTGGGCGCGCCCAAGGAAGCGGCGGCAACCCGCCAGCCCAGACAAGCACGCTGACCCGTGCTCTGAAGTTACTGACACCCGGGAAGGCAGCAGCAAGCAGGGGTTTAGACCGTACAAGTGGCCTTTAGCCTGTATCTGTTGAGAGTCCAGTGCTTTGCGCGCTCTAAGGTCCTCCCGTCTTGAGCGCGCCGCGCCCTACCCTCGCGGAGTATGCGAAGGCCTGCCAAGAGGGTGGACAAGCGACACAGCCTCTTTCCAGTGTAGTCGTGGGTGGCTCTGAAAAGAGCCTTTGGATTTGATGGAACCTCGAGCCGAGCGCACACTTCTTAAGCCCGCTCCCCGCGGATGCGGCGAGCCAGCTGGATGTCTTTGGGCATGATGGTCACGCGCTTGGCGTGGATGGCGCACAGGTTCGTGTCTTCAAACAGCCCCACCAGGTAGGCCTCGCTCGCCTCCTGCAGCGCCATCACGGCCGAGCTCTGGAAGCGCAGGTCCGTCTTGAAGTCCTGCGCGATCTCGCGCACCAGCCGCTGGAACGGCAGCTTGCGGATCAGCAGCTCGGTCGACTTCTGGTAGCGCCGGATCTCCCGCAGGGCCACGGTGCCCGGCCGGTAGCGGTGCGGCTTCTTGACGCCGCCCGTGGCCGGCGCGCTCTTGCGAGCGGCCTTGGTGGCCAGCTGCTTCCGCGGGGCCTTGCCACCGGTCGACTTGCGGGCAGTCTGCTTCGTACGCGCCATGGTTTCTCACAGGTTTTATTCACCGGCCCTCCTAGCCAGTCTCATTTATAGACATAGCCTCGTCTTGATTGGGCCAGAAAAGCTAGCAATTTCCGAAATTGTAATTTCATTGGCTAGAATTCAATCCGGTTTGGGCAGAAGATTGTAATGCTAGTCTCTTCACTTACGACCTCCCTTTTCCAGCCCTTTTCTATAATCTTATCACAGATTTCTTTTTAAAGACCTTTTCTTTATATTGCTGTTAACTTTCGTAAGAACAATTTATGAAGTGTTTTTGCACGCTTGGGATTTATATTTTAGCAGGTTCTTTCAAAATACAAGCACACCCTAGGTTTCAGCCTGCATTTCCACTTAATAATTACTGTAACTCCTCTCCCATAACTAACAAATTTATTTAGCTCCTGACACTGAATTAAGCGACAGTTACACTGCGACTGAGGTTCAACAAAACAATATGTAGTTGAAGGAACCAGAAATTAAACTTCACCGTTACCTGATTCGGAACTACACCAAAATTGTGTGCTTATGGTTACCAACTCAGAGTTAGAGCCATCTGCCTTCCCCACCCCCCCACCCCGAATGAGGTTTTCTCCTCAATCCATCAATCTGTAATTAGGTCCTAGGACAAACCGCTTTAAGTAAGGGAAGATAAGACCCTAAATATTTTCTCCCTTACAATAGTGAATAGCTTTAAATAGTCAAGTTGCTTATCAGTCATTTAAGGTTAAAGGGTCAAAGCACATAAATTATTCGTTGATTACTGAGCTGCTAGCATATTTTCTTCAATAAAGTGTTTCCTAATGCTTACAGTTTCAAATCTTTTCTATTCTCTATACAGAAATTGAAGATCTTTTGCCTTTTATTTCCTGGGCTCTGAAGAATTTCTCAGAAAATTGCATGTAATAAAACAAAAGTTATGTAAGATTACCAATGCTTAAAATTGCAATAACTAACAAACACTTTTAATGATACGCTTATTTGATTGGAAAAACATCGCATATAAAAACTCAAACTTGAGAATAAAATCAGGTCCAAGAGGCTCAAAACTTAGCTCAAAGGTATGATGATCACTCTCCTGAAGTTAAAAGTAATTTTGAGAGTTTTTCCTGAACATTAAATACAAGGTAGAAACAACCTGTGATGTATGGTTGCCTTAGAAGTCACCTTTAATAACAGAATTCTGATTCATATTAGAAGTCTCCTTAGGCAGCAGCAATCTCCTGCTATAGGGAGAAGATCTAAAATGTCAGTGAGAAAGTGTTGCTGATGTGAACAACTGTTACCATCTCCTGTGGTTATTTTGTAATAATATCTTGCATATAGAGAGCACCGCTCACTACTTTAAAATTTTCTACATATATTTAATTCCAGCTCTGTGAAATAGATGTTATTTCACTCATTTTACAGATAAACTGAGTCTCAGAGATGTTATGGCTCATCTTGGATAAGTAACAAGGCCTACATAATATTCTAAAGCACAAGAATGAAATCACAATGGATTTCCAGTTTCTTCAGACTTGGGATATATCTTAAAGCACTGAAGAATTTTCCCAACATACAATCGAATTACTCAACTCAGTTTTTACCATCAGAAGAAACTACCCCATGGTAGGTGTCTGGGTTATAGCCCAAAGCTGCCTACCCAAGTGTCACATTTCTTTGAAAAACTTTTTTTGTTTTGTTTTGTTTTGATACATCCACTCTTGGCCAAGCTGTATGGAATGTGTTCATTTAAACGAGAAAAAGATTCTCAAGCTGTCTGTTTATATATGATCCAACAGTAATGGGACTTGTATTACCTTTATCAACCGAAACTTGGCACTTGCCACAGGTGCTTGCCGTCTGCCTCTACAAGGATTAAGTCATGGGCTGCTGTAGCTGCTGACCTCCAACAACCCTTGAAGGAGTTCAGGGTGGAAAGCAGAAATTAGGCACTCTGCGCCCTGGAAAACTGGCAGGATGGGTCTTTAGATAGTTAGATATTCTCAGGAGCTGATTTCATGAGCCCAATTCTTATAAGAAAATATAGATGTAAGACATCTAGAAAAACACTAAAATCCTTCATGGTGATAATTGTTTCTTGTGACTAGCAGAAGTTTCATAATGCCAGCAGAAACTTTCTACAAAAAATATGTGCTTGATTGCATGTGCTCCCTTTTTGCCAAAATCAAGTATATATTGTTTTTTCCCTCTACCTCTTTGGAAGTTTCTCAGAGCTATCTGAGGTGCGGTCTCCCAGGCTGCAGTCCTCGTATTGCCCCAAATAACTCACAACTCTCATGTTGTGCATTTTTTATTTTCTTTTTTTTTAGTTGGTATCTTTATAACAGAGAATGAGAAAATTCTGAGAGTCCTCCTCTGGCTTAACAAAGAAGCTGAATAAGAATTTCTACTTCTCAGAAAACAGTGATGCCAACTTAAATGTTAACTCTGAGACAACAAATCAAATAAGATAATCAGAATAGTACATTATTATGGGTCATACGTAACATTTCTCTGAATATAACAATCTGTAATATATGGTCACCTTAGAAGTCATCTTTAATATGATACATGATTGTCTTAGAAGTCACCTTTAATAAGAGAATTCTGATTCATATTAGTTCAATTTCACCTAGTCTCCACATTGGACAGTAGAGTAATAATCCTATCAATGTTCTCAATATACCACTTTATCAAAAGCAAGTTTATAACAGAAGAATCTGTGCTTTGCTGCAGCAGTGAGGAAGAGGCAATCTTTTTCTCTTTTAATATTTCTGAAGTTTCTTTCATTAGAAATAACAAGAATCTGCAGTTTTAAGACTGGGCACTAAAATTTCATTATTTAGTACTGAGTAAATGGCAATCCACTCCAGTATTCTTGCCTGGAGAATCCCATGGATGGAGGAGCCTTGTCCTCCATTGCTTGCTGTTGGGGCAACAGGCTACAGTCCACGGGGTAGCAAAGAGTCATATCTGAGCGACTTCACTTCAGGGGAAGAAAACAGGCATGAGAAGCTTAAATTTTACCATAGGAAATAAGCAGGCAAAACATATAATGTTTTGTATGTGCATGTGTTTGTTTTTAATACAAAAGTAATGAACTAAATTACAAGTTCTAGGAAGATAGTTTGTGTCTTGTTTTTCACTTCAAGTACCCACGAGGTTTCAAGTATCTCAATTTTGAGACTAAATTTTCGGTCTGTGGGTTTCAGGCCACGCGCCTGCTTCTTTTAATTTTGAATGCATTTCGAATGCATTTCAACCCTGGACCAAATTGAGAGAAGGCAAAGGGTTTGGAGTGTCCTTTCTTATCCCATTCTGAGCTAAACTCTTTCCCCCAACACTCTACTTATTGGATAAACACTTCCCCTTTCCTGCCTGACCTTAACACTACTGCCTGTAAGGTACAATGAGGGATTGTGTTTGGGAGGAAAAATTTTCCTTGACCCACTGAGGGTCCCTGGCTGTGTCTGAAAATTAAACAAAGACAGGTTAACAGGAAAAAAGCACACACATTTATTTAAGTTTTACACGATGCAGGAACATTCATAAGGAAATGAAGATCTGAAGAAAGCAGCCTGAGCATTTTCATGCTAGATTTAATGAAGAGCAGGTGTTGTGTAGAAATATGAGCAGTTAATGAGTATGAGGTAAGTGTACTAAACTGGGGGAACAGTAAGGCCTGCTTATTAGGATTCTTGTGTGTCCCTTTGTCTTCAGAGATAAGGGTGCTCTTTTTCTCTGGGAATAGGGAGAGCACCTCTCACAGAAGAGTTTTATGACCTCTTTCAGGTGAGAAAGTCTGGGAAAGGTCATAGTGACCCTCCTGCTTCTGTCATTTTCTCAAAATTTCTTCAGCTTATTCAATATGCTGAGGTGCCGTATTTTGGAGTGGCATGTCTTGAACCCCATCAGTGGCAATATATGCCACCCCTAAAATATGTCATTTTGATATAAGGATTATTTTAAACCAGGGGACTTCCCTGGTGACTCAGATGGTAAAGAATCCGCCTGCAATGCAGGAGAGCTGGATTTGCTCCCTGGTTCGGGAAGATCCCCTGGAGAAGGGAATGGCAACTCACTCCAGTATTCTTGCCTAGAGAATTGCATGGACAGAGGAGCCTTGCACAGGTTACATCCAAGGGGTGGCGAAGGGAGATGTGGCTGAGAACTTTCACTTTCATTTTTTGCTTTTTAAACTAAAGGCACTTGAAAAACAGCAGATGCCAGAAGGGCCCTCTGACAACCCCTTTTCTTCCTTAAAAAAGGAGATTAAGCCCCCTGCCCCATATGGTAGGTGTCTTCCCTATACAGGAGTGTGTTCCAAGACAGGGAATCCTGGGAAGCCAAGAGGAATCTGCTCAAACAAACCTTATTAAACTAACCCATATCTTCCTAGTTACTTCTCTACCTAGTTAACTCCCCCAGTTAACTTCACACAGTTAGCTACCTTTGTCCAAACCCTTTGGTCTTGTCACTTCTCTAGAATTCATCGGGTTTTTTATTTTTTAAAAGTTATATATAAGCTCGGAGCCTACCTAGGTCTTCATGTTCCTTTTGAAGACTCCTGTATACACATAGAAATATGAAATTACATTCTATTTTCCTTTTGACTGGATTTATGTCAGTTTAATTTTCAGGCCCAGTCACAAGAATCTAAGATGTAGAAGAACGTTTTCCCTCTGCTATAAGTTTATACAATTTCTGGCTTTCCAGTATAACATGTCCCTGTGGACTGTAGTAGGTTCAAGTAAAGTTACACACAGTATTTTAAAGCTATTCAAACAAGAACTTTTTTTTGCTTCATTAACCATCCTCATGAGATTTGAGCTACATATTGCAGGGATTTTACAAGCTATTATTTTTAACATTTATTTGAATGTGTGGATCACAACAAACTGTGGAAAATTCTTCAAGAGATGGAAATACCAGACCACCTGACCTGCCTGCTGAGAAATCTGTCCTGCTTCTGCAGGACAAGAAGCAACAGTTAGAACTGGACATGGAACAGCAGACTG